AACAGCCTATGCAGGAGGTTGAGAGTTGGCATTGTAAGAAATGAGTAGTCCCGTCATCTCTCTTTTCCACTTCTTCCCTCTTTTTTTTGGTTTTTTGAGACAGGGTCTCATTATGTTTGTGTTTGTTGTTTTGATTTTTTGAGACAGGGTCTCGCTATGTAGTTGAGACTGACCTGGAACTCAGTACGTAGCACAGGTTGGTCTGGAATTTATGGAGATCCTCTCCTCCTACCTCAGCCTCCCAGTGCTGGGATTAAAGGCGTGTGCCACTACACCTGGCTTTCCCTCTTTTCTTCCATGGAATCCTACTCCACCTGCCTCTTGCGTCCTGATGATCTAGTCACTTGGTGACTTGCTTCTGAGCACCCCTGCCACCATTCTCTTTAACGTTTCCTTTCCCCGGTCCCAATGTGTGCTCTGCCTCTCCCTCCTCCAACCCTGGCACGAACGCTGTAGGTCTTTTGTCATGGCTGTCATAGCTGAGTAAATTTCAGGCACACCTGTTACTTGTTACCAGGTTGTTTCACACTGTTGTTACATGTGACAAGTTTTCTTGGAGTCCTTAAAAGTGCACACAGTCCTTCTTGCCCATCATGGACTTCACTGCAGAATTCTTAGGCAGCCTGCAAGGACCATCGTCACTACTGCCCTCTGTGTGTAGCGCTGGGTCCTGTGTTCCCTTTATGTTCTAGGTGTAGAATTTTATTTTTTTGGTACCAGGGATTGAACTCAGGATGTTGCGAAGTAGGCGACAGAACCTCTGAGCTAAATCCCTGGCCCTAGAAGAATTTTAAAAGTTGGAATCGTACAAAGTGTAACCTAATAGCATGTGAAATTAAGGAACTTTTTTGCTGAATTATTCTTCTTAAAATTGTATTAGTATGTATTTACAGTACATGACGTTTACATACATTTCAGGGAGTAGGTTCATGTACATACAGCGTATCTTGATTCTTCTTTGTTGCCCTTCTCACCTACCTCCCTCATTCTGTTGTCTTTCCCCATTTTCATTATTATTGTTATTTTTAGTTCGTGCTCAGGACAAAGTTTACATTCATTGTAGGTATTTGGTACAGATACATGACACATCTTTAGTCTTTTTACTCCACGGACACCCATCCACCTTGATCTCTTGGGTGTCTTCCTCTTTGCCTTTTTGTTTCCTTTTATTAGTCCTTTATTTGCACTTCTGTCTTACTCAAGTGAGACATACCATACGGTGTTCAAGCTTGTGTTTCTGATTTATTTCACTTAACCTTATGCTTTCCAAGGACTCTTGTAGAAAGTGAAATGGTGGCTGTCAGGAGTTGGGGTAAGGTGAAGGTGGGTGTTATTGTCTAATGGGTTCAGAATTTCGACTTTGCACTGAGTAAAGTGTTCTGGGCGTTGATGGAGGTGATGCCTACACATTAATGTAAATGCTGGATATCCCCGAGCCATCCTCTTAATGTTTATGATGGTTACATGCATTTTACTACCATTTAAAATATAAATTAAAAACTAAGAAACTCTTATTTAAGGAGTCATTGAAATTAGTCTTCACCATTTGCTTGTTTAAAGAGTTGATCCCCTGCATATTTTACTGTTTGTGTGAGTTCATTTTCCATAATAGTGAAATCCTGGTGTTGTGATCATTTTAAAAGGGCCAAGTGTGTGCTGAGCTATGAACTTTCTGGAACACTTGTTGGGTTTACCCCCTCAGGCGCATCCTTTTCCTTTCCCAAAGAAGTGAATTTTAAATTGGCGCCCATTTCTTTCCTGTGCAGCCAGTGTCCTGGGAGCCTTGAGAAGACAACAGACATGGAAAATCAGGGGCCACAGCCACCCATGACGTTTATAATAAGGGAGGCTTCTATTTTTGTATATTAAATGATACCATCCCCAAACAGAGATAATTTGACTTTTTCCTCTTCTGTTTAGATGTTGTTTCTTTCTCTTGCCCGTTAAGCTGGCTAAGATTTCCAAAACTATACTGAACAAGAGTGATAAAAGTGGAACCCTCATAATGTCTTGGCATTACTGGAAAGGATTTCAGCTTTTCTCCATTAAGCATGATAGTTTTTGGTTTTGTCATATGTAGTCTTTATTGTGTTGATTTTATTGCACATTTGTTCTGTTTCTAATTTCTTGCCATTACTTTTAATCACAAAGAGTTGTTCCATTTTATCAAATGTATTGTTTCCATGTATTTAAATCATAATAGGATTTCTGTGTTTTATGTAGGTAACTTGTGGTGTATCACATTTATTGATTTACCTATGTTGAGTTGTTCTTACATTGTGGGATAAATCTCATTTGGTCATGAAGAATGATCTTTTTGATGTGCTGTTGGATTAAATTTGCTAGGACTTTGTTGAGAATTTTTGCATTTATGTTCAACATGGGTGTTGGCCTGTAGGGTTTTATTTATTTAAGTTTTTCTGGATATGGTATCAAGGTAATTCTGTCGTTGGTAGAGTTAGATGGATTTGGAAGTATTCTGTGTTCTTCAGTTCTTTGGAAGAGTTTAAAAAGAATTTCTATTAATTCTTTCTTATTTTATTTGTCTTTAGGAGCTAGGAATCGAACCTGTACTAGGCTAGACAAGAGGTTGACCACTGAGCTGCTGCCTCAGACCCTAGTTTTTTATGAAATGTTTGATAGAATTCAGCAGTGAAGCCATAGGCTGGGACTTCACTTTGATGGGAGATTCTCTATTGCCTCTCGTTACTAGGCTAAGGTGTCTCTTCATAATTCCATCGTGATGGCTTGTGTGTGCCAAGGAATCTGTCCATTACTTTGTGATTATACCCCTTGATGGCATATCATTGTTTATAGAAGACTCTTTTGAAGTTCCATAGTTTTTTCAGTTGCAATATGTCCTTTTTCATATCTGACTTCATGTATTTGAGTCATCTTTACTTTTCCTTAACCTAGCTAAAGTTTTACTGATTTTATCTTTTCAAAAAAACCCACTTTTAATTCTCCCGATTTTTTTTCTAGTCTTTATTTCATGTTCATCTGCTCTAATCTTTATCATCTCCTTCCTTTTACTAACTTTGGTCTTAGTTTGTTCTTATTTTTTCAGTTTCTTGAAGTGCAGCATGATGTTGTTTGTGATTGTTCCTGTTTTGGTGCTATAAGCTTCCTTTTTGTTTTTTTTTTAAACTGCTTTTACCTCCTGACATTGGTTCTTGTTCAGGACCAGTGGAAATAGTTGAGAAATGAGGGCTGTGGCCTGTCCTCCTGTGGTTCTGTGATCAGCCAGGAGAGGGAGGCTAGGTCTACAGAAAAGAATTATGCTCTGGAGATTTAGGTCTGTGTTATGCTATGAGTTGTGATTTCCTTTCTCCTTTCTCTCTGAGAAACAGCATTTTGAAATCATTTCCACTGGCCTTCAAACAGAGCAGATTGTAATTTTATTTATGAATTAATGGAAGGCAGGCATGTGGCTCTGCTGCCCCATCCAACTGCACAGACCTGAGAGAATCTTTGTGGTTTGCCAGGGGGCTGGCCCTGGATGTCTCTGAGGGTGACTGTTTTCCTCAGTCAGCTCCAAGTGTAGGATTTATGAAAATAAAGACCTTAATGCCACCATGAGAGGGAAGTACTGTCACACTATTGGAATTTAGTATGGAACTAAAAGTTAACAAGAGGATTTAACTTACTGGACCACAGTTACGTGGGCACAGGAAGCATGACATAGCTGTATCTTCAGACCAGTGTCATTTTCACTGAACAATTTATTGTAGAGTAATAAGGCTTCAAACAAATACGTTTTTGGGCCAGGGATTTAGCTCAGTGTTTCCGCCGCCTGCCTCACAAGCTCAAGGTCCCAAGTTTGATCCCTGGTACCAAAACCAAACCAAAACAGAAACAAACCAAAAAAACCCCAAAAACAAACAAACAAAGAAAAAAACCCAAATATGTTTTTCTGAGACATATACATGCTTGGTGTATTTTGCCCTTTTTTTCCTGATAATGCACTAAAAATCCTGTTCTAGAAGAATAGAAATACATAATATAATTTTATATTAAATAATAGAAAAGAGCATAGACTGCATAATCCTGAAAACTACTCTTTGCTACCTCTCAAAAATCAGCTATTAACATTGGCCTTTAACCATTCTAGTTTCTTTTGGGGGTGGGTGGGTACTGGGGATCAAACTTGAGTCCTTGTGCTCGCAAGGCTGGCGACAGAACCAGTGAGCTAGATCCCCCGCCCTTTCATTTCTTTCTTTTTATGTATATGTATACACATACATTATATGTATATGTGTGTGTATATATATATATTGCTACATTTTAGATATACAGTATAGTCACATTCATCATTGGGATCTCGCACCTTTACATGACATATCTTGGTTCTTATTTTTTCCCCATACCCCTAGCCACCTTTCCTCTTCTACCCTTCCCTATTTAGAAAGACTTTGTTTCCATTTTTTTCTTTTTTCTTCCCTTTTTACCCTTCCCCTACCCCTCCCATTTAGACTTTTCTCCATGTTACAAAATATCAATTATACATTTTGACCCTTATTTACACTTTTAGCTTATCACACCAGAGAAACTCTATGGTATTTACACATATGTATCCCAATTAATTTCACTTAAGGGTATGGCCTCAATGTGTATCCACTTAGCTATAAATGTCTTTAGTTTCTCTTTCTTTAGGCTGAGTAGTACTCCATTTTATAAAAAACAAAACAAAACACGTCTTCTTTTTCTAGTCTCCAGCTGATGGACAGTTAGGCTGTTACCAAGCTTTAGCTCTTACAAACTGTATCGTGGAGAATAAACACAGCTGCTCCAGCAGGCCTTCCACAGAGCCATGGCCAGGGTCAGAAATTGCCCAGAGACCCCATTATGTCCCACAGTGACCCCGGGAGATTGGCCCAATGAGCACTCCACTGTTCTCAGGTGTGACCTGGGGCTGAGAGAGATAAGGGGACATTTAGAAGTCAGACCTTTAGGTGGCTGAGTCACACTGTGTTGCTGAGAGCAAACTCACTTTCCCACCATCAGGGCCTGTAGGGTGGAGATGTTGGCCGTTGAGGGGTCTGAAAAGAGTGGTGGAAGGGCCAGCTCTCGAGGAAGGCCTGCTCCAGGGGCTCTGTCAGGTTGTGCAGCTCACCTGCCTGCACCACCCTCACTGTGCGGATCTCTGCCAGGCTCTGGATTGACTGATTTCCAATCTGTGATGAGACAGTGGGAAGGCATGGAGTCAGTGGCCCAACCGGGACCCATCATGAGTGTTGGAGGCTGCAACATAGACCAAACTAAAATCCTCAGTGCCTCATGGCAGAGAGGGCGCAGTAGGGCTGCAGCATAAAAGTGATACTCGGAATGAAAAGTTAAATTTCAGAAGGAACACGTATAAATGCTAGTAGCATTTTAAAACAAGTTCGTTAGCAAAGAAATCATGTGTCCTGTGACAGTTGCTCATTCTAGAGGTGAGAAAACAGGTTCGTCCTGGGGGTAGAGGTGAGGCTTCATCTATGAGGACACAAAAGATGCTTCCTCCAGGGCTGTGGAAAGGGCCCCAGAAAAAATTGGGTCCAGGTTCTTTAGGCACAAAAGCCTGAATGGGAGTGTTTATTGCTTCCTTTTGTAATGTCATTTAGCCTAGAGGGATCCTAACTTCTGACCTGCAGGGCCTGCGTGAGTGCTGTGAGACAGCAAGTGCCAGAGAAGTGGACAGAGTAGCATGGGCCTGATGTGGGTGAGCTCAGCGCTGCCGATGGAATGATGTGTAAGAACTGCAGACAGGGTGGAAAGACAGTTGGGGCAGTGACGTGTGGACTCCCGAGAAATCATCAGGATCTCTCTAGGATTTTCCCTTGCTAGAAAAAGCAAGATTGAACAGCGCCTTCCAAGATTCTGTGGTTGAAGACCAATATGACAGCAGTGTTGTGAAAAATGAAGAATAGGTAAATTACAGGGACTAAAGATGAGGGGTGGCCTGGATCTAGCAGCCGGAGAGAGTACAGGAGATACTTTTGGTTACAGAGTTGAGGAAAATGTCTTGGAAGTGGACAATGGTAAAGGTTGCAAAACATGGCGAATGAGTGAGAATGCAACAAGCTGATAATTATCAACAAGACGAAAATCTTCAATTTTATTATTTAAATTCTATCATTGACCAATCTCCAGGAAATAAGAGTTACAATAAAAACAATATTAAGTAAATGAGTAAGGCAGGCGAATGGCAGTTGCAGGTGAAGAGCTGGGTCCAGGTAGATCTGAAGAGAGGACACCTGCCATGGAGCCAGAAGTTGCAGCTGTGTTCCTGGTGGAGCAGGGCTTCCAGGTGCTGGCTCCTGCTGTGGGGCCAGAGATGCCACGGGAGCTGCAGGTGGAGCTGGCACGAGTTCAGCAGGTGGGACGTCAGTGTGGGCCGGATCTGGCAGGGCAGTTGAAAGAGGAGAAAAGATCACCGACTGTTCTTGTTTCTTCCCAGGCAAAACCCTCAGCCTGTGAGAGACATCTGTGTGCACCAACACAGTCCCAGGAAGTCCTCCCAGCCTGCATCCCCACACTGACTGCCCAGTGTCTCAGTGTTCCTGGGTCCCTGAGCAGCTCAAAGCCTTGCAGTGTTTCAAGGCCCATCTCCTCCCCCCAGGCCCATTCTACAGTCCTCTCACCGTGGAGCTCTGCCTCAGTGGGCTCAGGAGGCTCCAGCTGGTTCAGGAGAAGGTCATCCTGGGGATCCACCTGGGATATCAGCTCCGGTGAGGAATCAGGAATGGAAGAGGCAGACCTGGGGAAGACACACAGGTGGGGCAGTGAGAGGCGGGGTTTTCACATCCACACTGCCTGCCAAGCGCCCCTGCAGGGATGAACACCTGGGCCTTCTGCCCATCTGTGCAGTGCCAGGCCCACAATATGCCGACCCTAATGGGACAGTGCAGTCCCAGGCAGCCCTCAGAGGCTGTCAGAAGGCTCAATGGGAGGCAGTCCTTGTGTTGTGGTGTGACACCTCTGTTTCTTTAGGGAAGCCTGACCTCTGCCTCTCCCCACTGGCACTGAACTCCTGAGGGCAGGGTTTGGGATCTGCTGTGTCCTTGCACTCAAGGGCACAGGGCTCCTGCATAAATATGTGAGAAGAGCGGAGTCAGTAGGAGGCTGTAAGTAGGAGTGAGAGCTGAGTCTCTAACCCATGCAGCCATGTGTTGACACATTCTCTGTGCCTTTTCGGGTCACAATT